AGTTTGGATGTTCAGCTGGTCGAATGGATAGTGCCTCGCAACTGTTAATCGGAGTGCCGGGTTCCAATTCCCGTTGGGTTCGTTATATTCACTCACCTGCAAATGCACTTGGGTAAGGGGTATGAACCCACTTCTTCTTCACTCAGCTATGGCGTACTTAGTAAGACTTGTATCACTAATCCATTAATATATAAAAATATATTCTTACCGACTAAAAAATATTTCTGGCTTTAAATAACCTGAAAAGGGTTGATAAGCCGTAGAAAGCGATTCAATCAATACACATATATGCACACATACATCTATATATACAGATATATAAGCACACTCTCACACACACACAAACACACACATATATATAAAATACACTCACATATATTTATATATAAACACTCACACACATAAACGCATAAACACATGCGCACACATGTATATGCGGACTAGGTTTTCGTTTTGAAGAGATGAACATCTCGGTATTCATAAAATAAAAATTATAAATGAAATGGATAATTAAAGTTTCGTCTTCTTCTTATCATATATATATATATATATATATATATAGTGAGTTAAAATATCCGTTGGTATAATCCAAGTGGATCCTAGTAATATGAAAATATTAGAACTGATCCACAAAAAAGAGCTTGATGTATTTTATTTAATTTATACAGAGCAATATAATTAATAATCAAACAAATTCTCTACCGTGACAGACATGAACTTCATTTCATTCTACACCGGGTTTGAAAAGACACTTTCGTCGTCTTCCAAAATAGCCTATTCCCCATATGAAGTGAAAGGATTTGTTATATATATATATATATATATATATATATATATATCAATTAAAACAAACATAGACATAGTATGTCTATTTTTAACCAAACGTGTTCGAATAAAAATATGCTGCCTAAATATACAAATATATATATATATATATATGAACACATACATACATATATATATATAAACACACACATGTATTATATATAAACACGCACATAGACATGAACATATATATATATATATATATATATATAAACACATACATACACACAAATTATATGTCACAAAGGTTTTAGAAGAGTCATTTTTATTTTGTCTTTACCATAACGTTTCCGCAATCAGTTTTTCAGGCTTTCTCATGTGTAGTATATGCATGTATGGAAGACGTCTCTCTCTGTCGGCTAGTACCTATCAGTCATTTGCCGGGGAATTTTTCACCAGTAAACGTAAAGAAAAAATAAATAAATAAATAAATGCCTAAAAAATAAAAAAAATAAAAAAATAAATGACCCTTTCCATTATCTACGGTCAGTACACCGATGTTAAGAAAGTGCCATTTCAAACGTTGTTCTAACAATTAAATGAACGAGATAGAAATTCTAAAATGCTGACATATATTTCGAAAAATGCTACTATGCCATTCTTTATATTCGGTTTATCTAATTAAAAAAAGAATATTTAATGACTATATCACGATGAAAAAAAAGAAGAAAAATCATGTATGAGATTGAACAAATCAAATTAGTCTTGTGTTGCAAACCTGTCAGCTCAGTATATTTTTTTATTTGCCATTAAGCTTTTAAAAACCAAAAATAAAATGAATTGAGAAAGTACATAAATCTTGTCTTTCCTGTAAAGTGGTTAACTTAGATAATAATATTGGCTTACAATTTTTCTTAAGTTGACTACTTCAGAAATAAAATGAGCCAATTCTTAAGTATTTTGGCATGCTGGATTCGAAAATTAGTTTTAAGTTAAATGATTGGCTCTAGATTTAGAGATACTTAGTTACGTCATACGCATGAGTAGAATGGCTGTTTCCAAGAGAAACAATGTTACTTTTCAAAAACTGCTTTGATGTTCTGTTCAAAAACATCAAGATGGCAATCAAATAGCAATCAGTGGCATTATTCGTTGGCTATCTCAAAATCATAGTCACTGCAAAAGACAGATTTTTTTTCTTCCAGGTAATCCATTAACCAAGATTTCTTGCACATATATGACAGCATATGTCTGTTACCGACTTGGTCCCCGATTTTGCATTCAACATATAGTTAATAAGCTTTTCTCATAACAGGTGTTATATTTCACTTTTGCGATTCAAAAATCACTTCACCACACGCATAGACGTTATCAATTTGGTTCAGACATCCAGGGGATTTTTCACAGATTAAATTGTGAAAATCTGAATGTAAAGGAGAACAATAATTAGTTTATTGGGAGAGTAATTATATATAATAAGGTTATTAGGAGAATAATAATTAATCTGGAAAAGATATTTTTTATGAAATATTCATCTAGTATTAGTAGTGTATCTTGAAATCTAGAGCCAATCAACATTTTACGATATCATTTTTATTTCTAATGTCTACAAATAAGCTGAGATTGGCTAGTTATGTTTTTGAAGTTTTCATGTAAGCTTGTATAATCATTTATATAAAATATCATCACTTACATGAATAACCCTTATTAGTACCAGAATATAGATTATTATTACCATAAATAGTAAATATTGTAGAGTTTGGCGTTCATTTTTATTACTCTTGCTGATATCATCACTGTTATTTATTTTTATTTTACATTATTGCTATCAGTATTAACATCAGTTGTCATTATAGTGAAGTCATTTTATAATCTGTATTAATATCGTTGACATATCGCCATTTTTCTTGTCCATTAATAATTTTCACAATCCAATGAAAATAATACTGAATTCTCTTTATCATTGATAGTTTAATTAACTGAATAGTTTATAAAATGATCTTATTTAAACTGGAGATAGTGTTGAACGGATGTTACAAATCAGTTCTTTTTCTGCTTAAAAAGAAACAAAACGCAGAGAGAGAGAGAGAGAGAGAGAGAGAGAGAGAGAGAGAGAGAAACGTATTCAGTTATGTAGATACGAACAGAATGGAACAAACGTTTTGTGTGACGCAGATGACAATTCATTTTTTACTTTTATTAAATGACAGAACAGAGGAAGAGACATAGAATTTATGTCCATAGTTTGGTTGTCATCACGAAGGATACTTAGTCTTGCTTTCGTTAATCCGTTGTAATTTTAAAACACTGTATTTATTATTTACGGCTAAATTCCAGTATGACTCTTGTGGTTAAAGAGACGACTGAGTGTAGAATATTTAGTTTTTATTTCAAATATCAGGTTTGGTATGGTCGTTATCCTAATTGGCACACAAAATCTATTCCAGATCAAAGCCACGGATTTCTCTTTGAAGCACTTAGCCTAATTCTTGCAAAATTCGTAGAATCGTTATTAGATTATCGTTCGGTTTTTCTTTAGTTTACGAAGAGTTTTCTTTTTTCAAAATTAAAAAGATCAGTTAGTTTCTCATTAGATATTTGAGAGCAAAAAAATATTTCAATATATATATATATATATATATATATATATATATATATATATATATATATATATATTTTTGCTTTTCTTTGAATAGACTTGAGGGAATATAATAATGTTTTACATTATTTTTTTGATCAAAAGAAACTCTAAATCCCTAGTAAAGATATATGCAACTCTAATTCCCGGTCACTGTATCGCCGTCATCATCAAAAGAAGTCAACTGAAATTAACTTTTCAAAGTGGTCACATCTAAATTTTTTGATAATATCTAACTATCAGGGTCCTAAAAACTAACTGCTGTTCAAATATGAAAACTTTTTTTGCCCGTTCCGAAATGCCTGTGAAACGCACATTTTATCAACATATGTAAGTTTTCAGTGAATAGACATGAACAGATTTATTAAATGTTTTTAAGAAAAGAAAGCTTTTACAAAAGGGTATTTGTTTAAGAAAGCTCCCCAGAAATTTTTTTTTTTTTATGCTTGGATTAAAAAAAAGAGTTACTTTTAAGGCAGGGCAAGTGTGGCATTTCTTTTAAAGAAGTTAGTCCTTTCACTGATCAAATTTATAAAGCAATTTTTAAATATTTTAGAAGTGAGTCATTTTTAAATCTTTTTTCAATGACCTGTGTCCAATATACAAACTTCTATCCAAGAGTATTTGATCTTCATTTTAACCTACATATGTATGAAGATGTTTAAATTTCTCGTGATACACTTCGCTCAAATTTTTGCAGAGTTTTTAAGATACTTCTCCCACTTGACATTTTGTTAAAATTATTAAAAAAGTTGTGGATATTTTATTTTTGTTTATTTTACGTAAAAAACAAAAACAAAAAAAAAAAAGACGAAAAACTCGAGCTTCATCTTTTTCTCATGGTGTCAATTTCATTTTCGCCGGTTATTTCTCTCTGTAGCTTGAGAAAATATTCATAAAGCAATAAAAATAAAACAACACAAATTATATTTATTTTTTGGATTATTATATTAATAAAATTGCTGTGAGAACAGGTGTGCGCAGGCGCACTTTCGGATGTCTGCCAAAGCCGCTGCCCGACGCCATCTTTGAACACACATCCTTCTTTCTATTTTACTTTCCTCTCATCTTTCTGTCTCCGTCTCTTACACACATACTTTTTACCTTTTTCCTCTTTACTCATTCATTGACCACATGCATTTCTTCTTCCTCTTCTTCCTATATTTCCGATGTTATTTCCTTCTTAAATTTCCTTGCATCTTACTTCCCAATCTTTTTTTTTCGTTCTTTCTGACAAAGACCAATCACCATCAGGTTGGCCATTGGTTTGAACATGACATCATGTTCTCTTGCTCCATGGATCCTTCATTGATTCCTTACACTAGCTGGATGTTCATCATTAGTAGATTAACTGCTTCCATATTTAGATCATTTTGCACGCATGTTCTTTTTCTTGGTAATCTTACAGCATGAGTTTAACATTACATACTGCCAAGCAGAAGTAATGTCAAATTAAACTTTCTAAATCAAGTACTATATATATATATATATATATATATATATATATATATATATATTCCCAAGTATAGGACTGGTCTATACGGAATAAATTCTAGTAACCAAAAGAATACTATTCTTAAAAGAGTGCTCAATATAG